AATTTCACTGAACTCATCTTCAAAAAATGTATTGATCAAGGAGGGTGTTTTTTCCTGTGACAAAAATAATGCTTTCAAGGCTGGAAACATCTGTAGCAACCTCTCAATACCTGGGAATAATGATAGCCATCGTGTCTTGCTGTGAGAAAGGAGACTTCTGTATTCAACGTCAACAAATTCACAGTACTCCTTCAGTTTCTCTATGCGCACAGTGTAGATGTGAAAGTATTGACATATTTTGAAGATGATGTTCTCAATATCAACATCTAGTGTGTCTGCCCCGTAATTAACACAATTGTCCAGGACGTGTGCTGGGCAGCCCACACCGATTTAAAGACTTGTTCTGCAATGACTTCTTTAAGTTTGCGAAAAACATTCTTTCCTTCTTCATCACGCCGGATTCCCCCGAACATTGTATTGCATTTGTCACCTGTAAATGCAATACATTTTGGAAAAAATACATTATTTCCAGTGTTTCTTTGATGTATTGTGCGATCGTATCAGCTGTGTCATTTGGAGTGTTTTTAACTTCGACTAATTTACTTTGCGCGCCACCATTCTTCCAATCAAAATACTGAATAAGCAGAGGGAATATTTTAACAGCACCGTGATTGCTCCCATCAGTAGAAACACCACAGTAGGGTGTGTCTTCTAGTGCTTTCAGAGCTATGTCGACAGAATGTGGCGCTATCACAGCGTTAACAATTGCTTCTGTCTTAGTACGAGCGCTTGAACATTTTCGCGCAGTCTCGGAATCAGGGAAAGCCTTTTTTAACAAGGCAGACGTGCAGTCCATTGATCTGTAGCTATTGTGATGCTTCGTGGTGTGGAATGCAAAAACTCCCTCCGCAGCAGTAACAGCATCTTCTGTTTTACCTGCTCTCACAAAATAGTCTTAATTTACCTGACGAACTCTCTCCTTTAGCTCGCTAGCACCTTTATTTGACACTGACACGTACGTGGCAGCTTTGCAGGTCATGCATTCTGCTTCACACGGATCCCGACCAAGACGAAAACACAGGAATTTTCTCTGTAAGTCGTCTGTGAATTTATTACGCGGTTCTGGAGCCATGTGCCACTGTTGACAAGCAAGCTGCTGCTCTGTCTCTTGGCTGTTGCCACGGTGAGGGTAATGATTGAGATGCAGTTTGACCAATGTTTGCGTAGGCCTACATGACCGACCAATGGTGGCGTGTGATAAGGCGGGACCTAAAGAGAAAGGTCAAAGCAATGCAAAACCCCAAAAACGCACACAATGAATGGTGACTGTAGAAAGCAAAAGCCGAATCCCGGATATTTTGGGCGATTTAGAATATATTTTTTTAGGTCCAAAAAGAGGACATGTCCGGGAAAAAGAGGATGTATGGTCACCCTAGTTTATGTCAAATGCATTACTTGTCCAGAGAGCTATGGGGACAATGTAAATGGTTGTTTGGCTAATGTGTCAAATGCATTGCCTTTGAGAGTTAACGTTAAGCCTGCTTGCTTGCTAATGATGCCCTTGCCTGTTATTGCAGACCTTGGGACAACTGTGCAGCATTTCACCTTTGCCATAGACCTTGTAGAGAAAGGTAAGTTGTCAAGAGAATTTTGGCCCAATAACAAAAGGCTTAATATACGTTTATATGATGAGGTAGTTAACAAAAAATCCAATAGCCATAGAACAGTATACATCCCCATTCTTTAAGCTCTACAATAAATAAAGTCAAAACATGCTAACCTCATAGTTAAAGGCGTACTAGAGTAGTTTCAATTTTTAGATGCTTTTCAGTCACCCCTGCTGATTAATTCAAACTATTTTAAAATCCATCTATTTTAGGTTTGTGAAATGTCTGAATTACACTGTGAAAGTGGATGGTTTGGATGAATTGGTAAAAACACTCCAGAAAATAATGTAAAGATTTGTTGGTAGGCCCTGAATGCAATAATATATCCTAACAGGCGTCTGAGTTATGTGCATATAACTTACATTTCTATAATAAAGTGCATGAATTGTTTCCACTTCCATTTTTGCAGACATCAATCAACCAAACATGCTGTGGAATTGTAAACTCTGCCGTTTTTTCCTACCATTCCTAAGGAAATCTTCTCAAACACTACCATTTGATACATAGTCAACACTCCAGAATTAGTCCTTTGCCATGTTTGTATGAAACCTGCATCTGCACCTTTGGCTCTTTGAATTGGCAAAAAATTAATTTGTCAAGACTCCATGCACCGATACATGCATGTTCAGCTGTCGAGACACATTTGGCGTTCCACTGCCCAATTTGTGCTTTTACACAACCATTTGATGAGAGAGAGCTTTTTTCACATTTAAGAGCACATGTGAAGAATCATGAAATGGTTCAGTGTCAAGTTAAAGTCTGCACATTCAAAACAAATGTTTTCTCAAACTTTCACCTCACATATGTCAAGAAACCATTCCTCTTTAAGCTCTATTGATTTCAAAGTTGGCATTGTGAGACAAGCAAGTGAGTCCCAAGATGATTTTTCTCAAAGCCAAATTACAGATGTTGCAGGTAGCTCCAAGGATGATGAATCAAATGCGCGGGATAGCACACCTTCTCTTAAAGAGCAGCTTAAAATTACAATCACTTCTTCATGTGTCACAAAGTGCAACACAAGAAATGCTAGTGAACTTGGATAAACTGCTCTTACTATCTAAACCACTAATGAAACAAACAGTCTCACAAATTCTAGAGAAACATAATTGTAATGTGAGCACTGATGTCATCAATGAAATTGTGAATGGCATAGTAGACAATGACGTTCTTCACAGTTGTACTTCAAAAGATGGACCTTTGTCAACAGCAAAAAGAAGGAATACTTATTATGATAGGAAATTCCCTGTGGTGAAGCCAATTGAGTACACCATAGATGGTGCAAAACATTCCACAATTTTGCAAGAGCTACTTAACAACAAGGATGTTATAGAGCAAGCAATGAAGACATCTGCACAACCAGGTGGCCAGTATGCATCATATCATGATGGATCATTTTGTAAAGACAATGAAATGCTTTCTAGTGAGGAGTTTAAGGTTGCTGTTCAACTCTATATTGATGATTTTGAAGTAGCCAACCCACTTGGTACATCAAGAAAAAAGCACACAATATGCTGTGTTTACTGGACTTTAGCCAATATTCCAAGCAAGTATCGCTCAACGTTGCATTCAATACAGCTAGCATTGCTATGCAATTCCAGTGACTTGAAGACTTGTGGATATGCAAAGGTTTTTGAGCCACTGTTGAATGACTTAAACATTTTGGAAACAAAATGTGTCTATGTTGACACTTTTGGAGAATGTGTTCTAGGTACTGTGTTGTGTGTAGTGGCTGATAATTTAGCTGCACATGGACTTGCAGGGTTCAAAGAGAGCTTTAATGGAAAATACATTTGCAGATTTTGTCTGGCAATGAAGATGGACATTTAAACATACGAGGCAAGGACTTTCGAGATGAGAACAAAGGAAAGCCTTGATAATTTATGTAACAACAGAATCTGGTATAAGTGCAGAGAACTATGGTGTGAAGAGTGCTTGTGTTTTTTCACAGCAACTACAGTACTTTCATACAACAAGTGGATTTCCTCCAGATAACCTTCATGATTTCCTAGAAAGTGTTTCTTGTTGGAACAATTGAGCATTGCTATTGTCAAGTTTCCTTATGAGAACAGTGACAAAGTTGATCGACCTCAGCCTATACCTAAGAGCTTTGTAAAAAGAAAAACGATTGGAGGCAATGGCCACGAAAATCCCACATTGCTTAGGCTTCTTCCTGCAATAATTGGCTCCGAGGTACCAGAGGATGAGAGAGCTTGGGAGATTTTGATGGATTTGAAAGACATTGTGGAACTAGTGTTGTGTCATGTGTTCACAGAGGAAGTGATTCAGTACTTGACTTTAAAGATATCCGATCATAGACAACTACTGCAGGAGGTATTTCCAAATTTCCAACTGCATCCAAAGCATCACTTAATTGAACACTATCCACAATTGATACGGTGTTTTGGTCCACTTGTACATTTCTGGACCATCAGATTTGAAGGAAAGCATAAAGTATTTAAAAAGATTATACATGACACACAACTTCAAGAACCTAAACAAAACCCTTGTGCAAAGACAGAGAATGATGGCATATCATTTGGCATTGCAAACCTTTTTTAAGCCTGCCGTTGAGACATTCACCGTAAATAACCTATTCTGGAACACTCTTCTGAATGGCACAGGATTTATTTTACAGGAAATAACTGACAGCACCTCGGTGTACAGCACTTCACATGTTGTTGTAGACAACACACATTTTGTCAGTGGCCTGTTTGTGTGCACTGGACTACATGGTGGTTTGCCCCAATTCAAACAAATTGGAAACATCATACTCGTCAACAATCAAACTGTTTATATGCAAAAGCTGCCAGTCTTGGTATATAGAGCACCTGCACTCCTATGAGGTGACAACAGAAGAGTCATATGTTGTAACAACACCATCTTTGTTCCTCTGTCCTACAGCGATATGGCTGACAAGTCTGAACTCTTCAGACTGAGAGTCCACTTAGGAGACGGAGGCATCGTCCAGATTCTTTCCCTCAACTGACTGCTTTACTGCGTGAAAAATTAGAAATTCCATACAGTGTCCTTGTCCAGTTTGAAGACCCTGATGTTGGTGGCCAGCTATGCAATCTGAGCAGGATTCATGAACTACAAAACATGGGAACTGTCAAATTGATCAGAGTAATGGACTTGTCCCTGCAGAGTTGGAAGATAAGCTACAGTCCAAGTGACAGTGGAGAGACCGACGGCTGCCTAACACCCCAAAGGGAAAGTGCATGGCCAGATGTGTTTGTGGTTCCCAACTTTCCACACAACATAGTTTGCTCTCAGGGAAGGCAATGAAGCTAAAGACCTGCATGGGAAATGCCTTACTTTAAACAAAGAGCAAACACATAAGATTCTTGAGGGCATGGCTGGAGCAATATTTGAATACAAGGCGTACCCTTGCAGCAAGGAGAATAAAAGTGGAAGAGTCTGGCTCCAAAAGTGGCTGTGATGGATGGAGAGACAGCTTGGTGTTCAAAATGGGAAATTTCAGACGCAAACTCAGCAAGTCAGGGTGTCCAGAAGTGAAAGTTAACAATGGCAAGAGAAGTAAAAGTAGCCCAGATGGCGACTCGCCACATTCAAAGATAAAGAGGCTGTCATGACTTCCTCCGAAGCTGCCTCCTCTCCTTGTTCAGGCAGGCTTCGGCGTTCGTCGTCACTGGCCTTCTAGCCACTGCCGCTCCTCATCTCATCATTCCATTTGTTTTGTCTTGTTTATTACACACACCTGGTTCATATCCCCTCATCAATACCTGTATAAGTATTCCCTCTGCCTCCCATGTCTTTGTGTGTGATTGTTTATTGTGGAGGTTAGTTTAGCTTGGTGGAGCTATATTGTATTGTGTATCGCCAGGATATTCACCCGTGTGCCTTGTTTTCTGTAGTGTGTCGTATTTACCCCACTGGAGTGTTTTACGCAATGCTGCGTACCACTGTACTACCGAACAAACCATTTATTCTGTGATTTACCCTCCTGCGCCTGACTCCGTCCAAATCACCCGCTACAGCGGCCTCGACGAGCAGAAGTAAACTTTCTCCCACAGTTTCCACAAGGTGAAACTGAAGAAAGTCTGGAGAGGTGGAGGAGTTGGAGGAAACGGACCAGATTAACTTGTATTGGTCAACAGCAGCATGTGTAGGACCTTTGCATTGAGATGGTTACCTTGAGCCCCACCATAGAGCGTATCCAAGACAGACTTTTCCTTGAGGAACAAGTGTGTGTGTGTGTGTGTGTGTGTGTGTGGGGGTGGGTGGGTGTGGGGTGACGTAAAGCAGTTTTCAAAAGCCTTTGTACTTTGTTTTAGGTATGTGCAGAGTACCATCACATCACAAACCAGCAACTCCGGGATTTGTTTTATTCCATGTTGGAACAACACACAGAACGCTTGCTAGCCGTATCCAGAGAGAAGCAGGGAAAGACTGGAAGAAATGGACAAAAGATAGCTGCCATTCTGAATTTGTACAGCCAGGTATATAAATTAAATCAGTAAGCAAAATGTAAAGCAAATTAATTGATTGAAATGTTACATTTTAAGATCAGTGATACCCTTACAGAAATGTATAGTTAATGTTTCTCTGTAGCAACCACGTGATGTGAACACCGATCGAACTGTTGTCCTCAGATGTCTTCCAGCAATACTCCAAGAGGATGACTCTGGAGTGTTCATAACATGCACGGTGGGTTGTGTTTGTGTGCGAGGTTGTTCAAGTATTCTTTGACCCAAAATAAAGGAGGGGAGAAACTACTTGTGTGTCTTCATAATAGTTTATTGTGACATGATAATTATATTTTCATGTTCTTTCTCAGGAGGAAACATCCCAAGACCCTGCAGCCATCAAGAGACCAGCAGCCATCATCTCAGTCATTGATGACGATTGAGATGTAGCTGCTATGCCATTCCATCCAGGAAGAGTCTACGTGGTCCTTGAGGAGAAGGTGGTTTTGAAGGATTTCCGGTGCTGACCTGATGTACTCACTCCAACATGGATACCCGAATTGCATGAAGAACAAGTTTGGGTTTATACAAAAAGTGTTGTTAAACTTGGATGGAGACAGAATGAAGCCAAAGGTCCTTGCTTTGAAAAACCAACTGTAAAATACCAAAAACATTTATGGCGCTAAACAATTGTAAATAGCTACGTTATCCTATAAGGAAAAGACTGAAGACGACTAAATGTTTTGTAGGCAAATGCCAACTAAAATGTCTGCCTGCATTTGATTTGATCTGTGCCTTTAGTCAAACCGGTCACAAAAATGAGAAAGTCATGCAATACTATTGGCCTTTAATCTATTGAGTCTTAACATGTACAGAGATACAAGACTAACTTGACTTCAGTTGGTGTAGAGTTCAATTGAAAGTGTTACTGTTTGGGAAAACTGAACATTGGCATTGTGAAGTTACCTTACAAATCAGTATGCCAGTAGGAAAAATGTATGCACTCACTAACTGTAAGTCGCTCTGGATAAGAGCGTCTGCTAAATGACTTAAAAAAAAAAAATATCAGTGATGAAGTTGTTGGCCTCAGCCTAAATCCTTGTATATAGGAAGCTTTAGAGACATTGGCCACAAATCTCACATTGCTGACGTCATAATGCGAAAAATGGCTGAGTTCCCAGAGGATGAAAATGGATAGGGAATATTCATGGTTGTAAGGAGAGGTCTTTTGCATACCTGTCTAGTGTTGTGGACCAGTACATATAAGAAAGTTGGGGAAACAACATTCGCACACACTGTCTACTTGCATTTAGAACATTTATTTGTCCGTTTAATGATTTGGCCATACACCTTAGTCAGGAATGAAGGTTTAAGACTGAAACATTTTATAATCTGCAAGTATAACTTTGTTGTAAACATAATGGAGTGAAACTTTTAGTGGAGGAAGAAATGTAAATTGTCAACGTTAATCTTCATCTTGTACAGTTAAACGTAGTCAAGTAGTTAGACTGTGAAATGGATGTCGGCACATCACAACCTCGATATTTTGATTTTATATCCTTCAGCACAGCTTTTAATTGAATGGAAGCTACCACATCAGTTGAAAGTGTTAATTGGAGAAGGGTCATTATACTGTGCTTATGTTTTAATAGTTAAGTTGTCGATGGGGAATGTTGCAATGTCACACAGTATTGAATTGATTGAAAGTTGGGGTTTTGTTATCTGAGCCTTTTAAAAGTTATAGCATATGTTCAAATGAGTCATGCTGTACATAATTGGCATTAATCTATTGATAGAGCCTAAAATAGATTAATCATGTTTTGTGCATTCATGTAATTAGAGATTTGTGGTTCTGAAGACGGAGTGTTTTAAAGAAAATGTCATTTTATTTTTTAAGTAAAAACTGTTGTAAAGCTGACTTGCTTTAGAGTAGTTGACTGAAAGAAAGAACTTGGATATTAAGAGTAGTTTTTGACTTAACATTTTGAAGTGCAGCTGGTTTCCACAAATTATTTGAGTTACGTAACAAAAAATATCAAGTTACACAGGACTAAAATGTGATACTTTTTTTTAAAAACTGTTTTATGTTTAATTTACTCAAAAGTTGTATGCAAACTTGAACATGTTGATTCGGTATTTGTTGAATGCACTCGAAAGAGTAGAGTAACTAAAGTAATTAATTACAGAGATACAACATGAATGATTTAAGTTATTAATCAAATGATATGAACATATACAATATAGTAATATTACTTGGAATTGTAAGTAAGTTGCGCAAAGGTTACACAGTTTGGATACTTAAACAATTTAATTCACAGTGACACGATAGAACCAAGTTAAGGTCCAAGTTGCCATGGCTTTAATGTTTTGAGTACAAACAGAACATTACAACTAAAGTTATTGTAGGGAGTAAAAGCAAGTTAATGGACAGATATCTTTTAAATATTCTGCACTCAAAAAAAACATTTTGCCCAGACTCCAAATATTTTAGTAGATTTAGCTCAAACTATTATGTTTATTTAACTCTGAAATTACCATTAGTGGACAAAAATTATTTCAGTGTGTGTTACACTACTAATCTACTTCATTTAGCAAACTATGTTGAGGACACTTACAGTTTGAGTTAAGCTAGTGCTAACGTTCTAAGTAACTGTACTCTAGTATACTAGTGCAGCGGGTTTCCACAAAACTTTTGAGTAATAACTAATAAGGGTTTACAGTGTACCTGTGGTGTTGGAAGAGGCTTTATTGGGAGGAGGATGCATCAACAACCTGGAAAAATGTTTGTGGTGCAATCACTCATAACACTTTATTTGAGTGATAAATGAGTGTATTGTCTTCAAGCTTGATAAGGTAAGCAAATGCATGTATTATTCTCATAAATGTAGCCCATACATTCATTCTTTGTAACAATGATATATTTCATTGCTTTAAACTAGTAGCTAGCGCATGTTGATCATGTGTTGTTCCTTCTCCCTTTGTAGAAGCAATCAGTTAAAAGCAAAAATACATATTGAGGCCTTCAATCAAACTGACAACAGAGAAATATGTGTGCACCAGGTCATGGCTTCTTGCAGGCATGGCTTTGAGATGTCAGTTAACAATAATTCCTTTTGGGAAAATAATATGTTGCCATATTAGACATATAGTGCATTCGGAAAGTATTCAGACCCTTTGACTTTTTCCGCATTTTCTTACGTTTTTTTAAACATATTTTTGTCAATCTACACACAATACCCCATAATGACAATACAGAAACTGTTTTTTTGAAATATTCAGACCCTTTGCTATGAGACTCGAAATTGAGCTCAGGTGTGTCCTGTTTCCATTGATCATCCTTGAGATGTTTCTACAACTTCATTGGAGTCCACCTGGGGTAAATTCAATTGATTGGACATGATTTGGAAAGACACACACCTGTCTATATAAGGTCCCACAGTTGACAGTGCATGTCAGAGCAAAAACCAAGCCATGAGGTGGAAGGAATTGTCCGTAGAGCTCAGAGACAGTATTTTGTCGAGGAACAGATCTGGGGAAGGGTACCAAACAATTTCTGCAGCATTAAAGGTCCTCAAGAACACAGTGACCTCCATCATTCTTAAATGGAAGAAGTTTCGAACCACCAAGACTCTCCCTAGAGCTGGCCAAACTGAGCAATCAGGGGAGAAGGTCCTTGGTCAGGGAGGTGACCAAGAACCCGATGGTCATTCTGACAGAGCTCCAGAGTTCCCCTGTGGAGATGGGAGAATCTTCCAGAAGAACAACCATCTCTGCAGCACTCCACCAATCAGACCTTTATGGTAGAGTGGCCAGACGGAAGCCCCTCAGTAAAAGGCACATGACAGCCCGCTTGGAATTTGCCAAAAGGCACCTAAAGGACTCTCAGACCATGAGAAACAAGAATCTCTGGTCTGATGAAACCAAGATTGAACTCTTTGGCCTGAATGCCAACCGTGAAGTCTGGAGGAAACCTGGCACCATCCATACGGTGAAGCATGGTGGTGGCAGCATCATGCTGTGGTGATGTTTTTCAGCGGCAGGGACTGGGAGACTAGTCACGATTGAGGGAAAGATGAATGGAGCAAAGTACAGAGAGATCTTTGATGAAAACCTGCTCCAGAGTGCTCAGGACCTCAGACTGGGGTGAAGGTTCACCTTCCAACAGGATAACGACACTAAGCACACAGCCAAGACAATGCAGGAATGGCTTCAGGACAAGTCTCTGAATGTCCTTGAGTGGCCCAGCCAGAGCCCGGACTTGAACCCGATCGAACATCTCATGAGAGACCTGAAAATAGCTGTGCAGCGACGCTCCCCATCCAACCTGAGAGAGCTTGAGAGGATCTGCAGAGAAGAATGGGAGAAACACCCCAAATACAGCTGTACCAAGCTTGTAGAATCATACCCAAGAAGACTCTAGGCTGTAATGCTGCCAAAGGTGCTTCAACAAAGTATTGAGTAAAGGGTCTGAATACTTATGTAAATGTAATATTTCAGTTTTTTATTTTTTATAAATGTGCAAAACAAATTAAAACCCTGTTTTTGCCTTGGCATTATGGGGTTTTGTGTGTAGATTGATGAGATGAAAAAACTATGTAATCCATTTCAGAATAAGGCTGTAACGTAACAAAATGTGGAAAAAGTGAAGGGGTCTGAATACTTTCCGAATGCGCTGTATATATTTTCAAAGAAGCGTGGATCATCATTATTTGGACCGTATAGATTAATGAGCCAAATCTGTTTACGGTCCAATAACATATTTAAAAGAATCCATCTACCTTGCTAGCCGATCTGTTTAAACAATTTGCACATTCGGATCAAAATGATTGTTAATTAATATCATCACATCTTTTGAGTTTCTTTGCCCATGGGAGAAGTATATTTTGCCCCCCTAAGTCCTTTTTCCACACTACTTCATCAAAAATTTCTGTAAACAATAGATATTATATCTTTGAGCAAGGTAAATACTGATCGTCTTTTCTTATTATCTGCTAAGCCATTACAATTCCTGTAGCTCAGTTGGTAGAGCATGGCGCTTGCAACGCCAGGATTGTGGGTTCGATTCCCACGGGGGCCAGTATGAAAAATGTATGCACTCACTAACTGTAAGTCGCTCTGGATAAGAGCGTCTGCTAAATGACTAAAATTATGTAAATGTAATTATAACTTGCTATACTTATTTCACCATTTACCATAATGAGATACATGTTTCAATTCTATTTATCATAATATATGTTTGTAAACTTACCAGTAAAAAGTACCATAATGATTGAGCGTCCATATACAGTGGCTTGTGAAAGTATTCACCCCCCCTTGGCATTTTTCCTATTTTGTTGCCTTACAAACTGGAATTAAAATGGATTTTCTGGGGGTTTGTATCATTTGTTTTACACAACATGCCTACCACTTTTTTGTGAAACAAACAAGAAATAAGACAAAA